GGTCATTCCACTTTAGATCAACAGTATACAACCCCTCAGTGATACTATATCCATATCAAGTCATTCTGATGGTGCTTTCCAAAATAAAGGCCTTTTTAAATTGCCCATACACGACCAAACTTTCAGTGATTTCAAAATGCTCTAAAATGGAAACTTGCTGTTTCCACTGGGTCATTCCACTTTAGATCAACAGTATACAACCCCACAGTGATACCATGTCAATATGAAATCATTCTGATGGTGCTTTCCTAAATAAAGGCCTTTTTAAATTGCCCATTTACGACCAAACTTTCAGTGACTTCAAAATGCTCTAAAATGGAAAATTTTTGTTTCCACTGGGTCATTCCACTTTAGATCAACAGTATGCAACCCCTCAGTGATACCCTATCCATATCAAGTCATTCTGATGGTGCTTTCCAAAATAAAGGCCTTTTTAAATTGCCCATATACGACCAAACTTTCAGTGATTTCAAAATGCTATGAAAAGGAAAATTGCTGTTTCCACTGGGTCATTCCGCTTTAGATCAACAGTTTACAACCCCACAGTGATACCATATCAATATATGGTCATTCTGATGGTGCTTTGCAAAATAAAGGCCTGTTTAAATGGTCCAAAATTGATCTACCTTAAACAATTTCAAATGTCGTACATTGGCAGTTTAAAAAGGCCTTTATTTTTGAAAGCACCATCAGAATGACTTGAAATTGATATAGTATCACTGCAGGGTTGTATACTGTTGATCTAAAGTGGAATGACCCAGTGGAAACAGCTATTTCCAATTTTAGAGCATTTTGAATTTTTTTATTTAATTTTTATTTATTTATTTTTTTGAATTGCCCATGTACGACCAAACTTTCAGTGATTTCAAAATGCTCTAAAATGAAAAAATGCTGTTTCCACTGGGTCATTCCACTTTAGATCAACAGTATACAACCCCACAGTGATACCATGTCAATATGAAATCATTCTGATGGTGCTTTGCAAAATAAAGGCCTTTTTAAATTGCCCATATACGACCAAACTTTCAGTGATTTCAAAATGCTCTAAAATGGAAAATTGCTGTTTCCACTGGGTCATTCCACTTTAGATCAACAGTATACAACCCCACAGTGATGCCATATCAGTATCAAGTCATTCTGATGGTGCTTTGCAAAATAAAGGCCTTTTTAAATTGCCCACATACGACAAAACTTTCAGTGATTACAAACTGCTCTAAAATGGAAAATTGCTGTTTCCACTGGGTCATTCCACTTTAGATCAACAGTATACAACCCCACAGTGATACTACATCAATATCAAGTCATTCTGATGTAATGTTATGAAGTTCATTATTTTCAGCTCCACACAGCTGCCCCTGTACACAGTAACACCCGTGTAGAAAACGCCAAGGTCGGGTGGTCCTCAGACTGTTTACATTCCAGGAGGAGAGCCAGAAGGAGAAGAACGCTTTTCAATAATCAAAGTACTTAATTTGTAATTAAAGCTAGTCGAAACAGATGTTTATCAATAATAATCAAGTGAATGATCTGTGGAATAAAGATGTCATGATTTATGTGTTTAATGAAAACAGGACTACTGCACAGACAGACTGACCCTCATCTCCATAGAAACGCATGACACATTGTTCCAACCAATCAGAGCTTTCGGCTGCCGCAAGAGAATCTGGCTTGTTGACTTAAAGTGTCCAATCCGCTTTACTAAAACTTATCAACAATTCAGAGATATAAAACAAGGAAACGCCATTTTAAGCTCAGTTCCATTTTGACTTCAGTTCTATTCACCGTCATCCCAAAGAGAAGCACAGCCTGGCCAGATGTGTTTTCTTCTTTAAACTAAGAACTGTGAAGTTGGAGATTTTCGTTGTTTAACAACCAGACGACATCCTTTCAAAATAAGAGTACCTGCTGACGCTGCCGATTGTTACCTGGGTCGACCCTTCAGACGGGCTTTGAAACGCTGCGATCGCTGTTTCGACCAGCTCCAGCGCACATCCGAGGTCTTCAGACCTGGCATTTCCTGATCTACCTGGGAGGCCCCACTGGGTACGTACACGGCAAAATAGCGGCTCATGTCATCACTTTATAAGCCTCGTGATATCTAGTCATAGCAATCAAAGACTACCAGATTCAGTGACGTCAGCCTAAGGAGTCTGAACCAACCACACACACACACACACACACACACACACACACACACACACACACACACACACACACACACACACACATCGAACATCACATTCATTTCCAAACAACACATAGTTAGTCCTGATAGATTGTTAAGAATTTATAATTAAGAAATTAAAGATTCTTAAACGATCCCAACTCTCTCTCTTTCTTGTCTCAAAGTCAATACAGAGTGTTTAATTAAACTCCCTGATGATAAAAACAGCCCATCTTCTGATTATAACAAGTGATCTACTTACAGTATATTAAAATACAACTCTAGATAGTTACATCACTCTATATCTCAACACTGATGGTGCTTTCCAAAATAAAGGCCTTTTTAAATTGCCCATATACGACCAAATTTTCAGTGATTTCAAAATGCTCTAAAATGGAAAATTGCTGTTTCCACTGGGTCATTTCACTTCAGATCAACAGTATACAACCCCTCAGTGATACCATATCAATATCAAGTCATTCTGATGGTGCTTTCCAAAATAAAGGCCTTTTTAAATTGCCCATGTACGACCAAACTTTCAGAGATTTCAAAAAGCTCTAAAATGGAAAATTGCTGTTTCCACTGGGTCATTCCACTTTAGATCAACAGTATGCAACCCCTCAGTGATACCCTATCCATATCAAGTCATTCTGATGGTGCTTTCCAAAATAAAGGCCTTTTTAAATTGTCCAAAATTGACCTACCTTTAACGATTTCAAATGTCGTATATTGGCAGTTTAAAAAGGCCTTTATTTTTGAAAGCACCATCAGAATGACTTGATATTGATGTGGTATCACTGCAGGGTTGTATACTGTTGATCTAAAGTGGAATGACCCAGTGGAAACAGCAATTTTCAATTTTAGAGCATTTTGAAATTTTTAATTTAATTTTTAGATTTTTTTGAATTGCCTATACACGACCAAACGTTCAGTGATTTCAAAAAGCTCTAAAATGGAAAATTGCTGTTTCCACTGGGCCATTCCACTTTAGATCAACAGTATGCAACCCCTCAGTGATACCCTATCCATATCAAGTCATTCTGATGGTGCTTTCCAAAATAAAGGCCTTTTTAAATTGCCCATATATGACCAAACTTTCAGTGATTTCAAAATGCTCTAAAATGGAAACTTGCTGTTTCCACTGGGTCATTCCACTTTAGATCAACCGTATACAACCCCACAGTGATACCATATCAATATGAAATCATTCTGATGGTGCTTTCCAAAATAAAGGCCTTTTTAAAGGAGCATGGGGCAGGAATTGTCAAAAAACAAAAAGTACATGTTCATTCTTGAGAAGCTTATGGGTGACGAAGCATTTTAAACTAAAAAGAATGATGAAAACAGTTTATCATTCCATTTTGTTAATCAGGCTTTGTGCTGCAAAATGCAAAACATTCCTGATCCGAATTTCCCACGCTGTTTTACGGATATGACGTTAATTGACGCTTCAAGCGCGTTCTCGACAAGGTTCAAACCCAGAAAAACATTTGGAAGTTTCTTAGGTGGCGGTAATGCGTCTTTCACTACTAGCCACGTTAAAACCCCAAACAGAAGAGGAAGAACCCTAGCAAACGACCAAGCGCAACTCAAAGCCTACTAAAGAGTGGCACAAAGAAGAAGAAGGTTTTATCAGCGGCATCTCGAGAGTCAAAAAGAAAATATGATAAAAGTCGGTCAGGGACCCGAATATCTATTGGTTACGCTCTGGAAGAATGGAGGCTGCTTCAACTGGATTTGGGCCTGAAAAAGGATGCGGACATGGCTCATTTTCTAGTGACCAGGTAAGTGTTTGTCTCCTTATTTCTGCTGTAGGTTTCAGTAACGAGTAGGTAAACATTAGAGCTGTATCTGCACAATTTGAGAAAATAAAATAAAACTTATGGATTTAGATAATGCTGATTTAGGTAATCTAACAAATCTTTGTGCAGATGAACAAGAAACTTATCTAAGCTAACGGTGTTTAGCATATGGCTTCCTGATCAGTTTGAAAAAGCTAAAAGCAACCAAGGAGTAACTGGATCACTTCTACGTTTTGTGGACGACACGCCGCATGTGTTTGGAGATAAATGGATGTTCCGTTTATTCTGACGAGAAAAGTAAACAGAGCTTGATTTGATTATATGACGTCACCGCTCAGCCGGAGAGAGCTAGCGTGCGTTAGCATGTTAGCTGCGATCACGCTTCAGTTTGTAGAAGAGAACGGACATTTTCCAAACCAAAGATGAGTCTTTAGAATTATGTCATATTTGATCTACAGTCCAACCTCTAAGCAGGACTGTTACTTTAGTAGATAATGTTATTCGTGGGGTTTGTGTAACAGAACCCCATCGGAATATAGTTCCCTAGCGCTATTGCTGAGAATAAATAAAATTAGGATTCATAAGAATAAATAATAAGTCAGCCATAACAACACGTTTGACTAAAAGTAAAGTTGTGCAGAAGTTTGTGTTTATTTTTCTAAATTTGTCCAGTTGAATGTAGGTCAGAATAAAATATGTTTGTGAAAATGATAAATAATTTTTTTATAACTGACCTGCATTTTCATATTACTCATTGTGCCACAGGTAAAGAAGCTTAGCCGTTATTGATCTATGTAAACAGAAGGTGTAGAGTCTCAACCAACTTGTTGACATTTTTGTTTAAAAATGTGTTTTCCAGCTACCGGAAGAAGCAGGCTCCTGAAACTGCAATTCAGGGAGAACAGCAGCTAAAATGTGGCATCGATTATCTCCAACTGAACCCGTGACTGAGGGGTTAGTATCTTTTCTGTAAAACAAATATTCACGTTTTAGTGCTATGATATTTCATACATTAAAGTACATCTTGCATATCCACACTTGGTTCAGAACTAACATCACACCACCAAACACTTCTGACATTATCTTTACAGGGAAGATTTTCTAATGGCTGGTGTTGAGGCCTTAGCTGATGACCTAGATTTGGATCCTTTTGAAGAAAGGTAAATTTGTTCATGAGAAGTCTTGCCATATACGCAGGAAATTACTGCTCTGCAAAAAAGATAAAAACACAATAGATAAGCAAATATAGGTCATTATATATTTATTTATGTTGTGAAGTGTCAATTCACAGCAGATTGTTGTTATTTGCAGAAATAATTAATGACAGATGTATTAGGCTCCACATTTATCTCTTTAGAATCAGTACCATTTCAGGTAAGTTCCAGTATTTATCTTTACGTACAACAAATATTGTGTTGTCTGTAGTTTCAAATCCATGGATCTAGCTACGGATGCAGTCCAAATTGATGAGGACCAAGCAAACAACTTACTCAACAGTGTGTGAGTTGCAATGTCTTCTTATCTAGGGGTGGGAAATATAAACGATATAAGGTAGAAATGATATAAAATTGGGTAATGATAGTTTGTGGCTATATCGCAATACGGCGATATTGTGATAACACATGACGTCACTAACCCCCAAATTCCACTACCTCCGCTCCGCTGCGCTCCGCTCCGACACGTACGCCAGAGCAAAATCGGTCCCGTTGTAGTCAATCAGAGCAATTCCACTACTGCGGCCGTGCTCCGGCAGTGCGGCGCCGTGCGCCGCCCTCTGTTCCGGCGTCCGGCAAAAATAGAATCAATCCTATTTTTGCCGGACGCCGGAGCACCTCCGCAGTAAATGGACAGAAATCACAACCGCCAAACAGGAAAAGGAGCAGGCACAATTTCCGTTTTTCACAATAAATCGATAAACAAAAGGCGTTTTTTGTTTCATATGCACAGGTTTAACAACTTTTAACAACTATCAATGGCGGCTGAAGTTTAAATGCACAAAAGTAAGCCATAAATACAGTTTCTACTATCAAAGTAGTCACACTTTGTTGATCCAAACACTGCTGATCTGTCAACACAAATGATGGGCAGATTAAACAGTTCATGCCAATGCTTCTCCCACACAACGGGTGTTTGGATCTAACTTCCGCGTTTATTGCTCGGACTGTATCGCAAGATCTCGAAAATCCCGCGCATGCTTGTTTGCCCACCTCAGGTCTCCGCACCGGAGCGGAGCCGTTGTAGAGCGGGTACCAGTAAAAATTGAATTCGGAAGCGAGCGGCTGCGGAAGGCGGGGGCAGACCGGAGCGGAGCGGAGGTAGTGGAATTTGGGGGTTAGATGTGCACCCTGCTGACAATGGAACAACAGAATGGCGGTGACTGCAAGCATGGAGTGGGCGGAGGAGGAGGCCTATATGCCTCAAGTGGCATATATTTGCCACATGAGGATATGTAAAAGCATGTCAATTTGACATCTATAAACAGATGAAAAATGTATCGCAATATAAATCGTTACTGCACATGCTTCAGATTATATCGCAATATAGATTTGAGGCCATATTGCCCAGCCCTCTTCTTATCTACACTCTTTTTTTAAACTCCAAAGTCTTAAAACAATATATTAATTCTACTTTTATTTATTGTTTTCATAACAGATTAGAACTGTTATGAAAACTTTGTCAGGCTGATGAAGTTTGCAGCCGCAAACAAAACGTTGCAGGTAAATAAAACCCTTCTATGTTTTAAAAAGAACTAAAAGATGGAATTGTTGTTTTATCCTTGTTCACAGGCTGGGATCCTAAAGGGAATTTCCATCCTACTTGTGTGGCTGAAGGACATCTTCAACCAATTTTGGTACATTTGCCAGAAAGCACAACATTGTGATATGTTTAATGTAAGTATTGTGACATCTTTTGGACAATAAGACAACAATGCACATTGACATAATTACCTTTCTTTTGATAATAGTGCCAGCTCTCGTGTTTCTGTTGGTGAGCGCTTCTGTCACATGTAAAGTTTTCAAATAAAACTTATTTTTTCTGTTAGGACATGTGGGTGGGTGTGCTTCACCATGTCACAGGGAAGCATGAATGGACCCGTGGCAAATGTGACCATGGACCACTTGATGCAACGACCAGTGATAAAGAGCTCATGGTGCCATGATCTCCACCACACGAGGCTCTTCAACGAATCATGTTCAACAGACGCTGGTTGAAGGATGTCACCAATCTGACCTTTAGGTATATTAATAATTTTCATAAGCATAAAAGCTAAAGTGTCAATATCAAAGCTGACAATTTACATATAGAAATGACAATTGTGGGTGAAAAGGCAATCAAAAGTGTGATTCCTAATAATCTATAAAGTTGTAGCTTTTGTTTTTTTTTACAGGTCAACTTCAGAACTGGAGAGTTTCCAGAACTGCATTCTCATGTAATCTATGTATGATCTAATGCTGCTGTTCTCTCTCCATAAAGGCCCCAGCTACGTGAAGCATCAAAAGACAGGAATGACTTCTTTCATGCACACAGATTTATTAGAAATTAAGAAAAAATACTATGTACAAATGCAAATAACAGAACTTTTTTGTACATAAATAAAAATAAATATATTGCACAAACTGTTTGTTTATTTTTGGGTGAAAATGCTGTCTTCAGCTAAAGTTATTTTTGAGGTATTGTGCTGTTTTGGAACTACTGTAGTTGTAGATAAACGGTTTGGATTTTTGGGTTAGGGTGCCCTCAGTCTGGAAGATGGTGTCCTGGCGTCTCTTGCCGAAACTCCAGGGTAGAGCCCTGCACTGAAGCCCTAGGCCCTCGGGTCGGCCCGGCCCGACGGCCCTCGGGCCGGGCTTCGGGCCAACGATTGTGTAATTACCTCGGACACGGGCCGGGCCGGGCGCCTTTATTTTTATTCGAAATCATTAAAAAAATTAAAACACTTAAATGCAGCAGTAGAGCCCTGTGCGGGACTGTTTTCTTCATCCCGCTCCGCTCCCGCTGAATTTCTGACCATTACAGCCTGCAACCGCAACATGTGTGTTACACTCCCGCCCGCACCTGCAGCGTGCATGTCTACTCCCGCCCGCACCTGCAGCGTGCATGTCTACTCCCGCCCGCACCTGCAGCGTGCACGTCTACTCCCGCCCGCAACCGCAAAACTCGGAGAAATTATTACCTCACAATAAAAGAGATGTATTGAGTTTGCGTCCTCAACATGTCATTTTATAGGTTATCCGCTTTCACAGCAGCGCTGCGCTCCGTTTCAATCAGGCTGTACAGCAGGATTTCCCCTCGTAGCGATATTTTCTCTAACTCTGATTGCTTCATGCTATATATCGTCGGAAAGCTGCTTTTATGTACTTTTAGGAACCGTTGGAATTATTTGAATCTGATCAACCATTCAAAAGTTATAAAACGGAGCATTTTGGATGACAAACTCGCACGTCTCTGAATCTGTGTTGTGATTCGTTGCGCTCAAGACAGGGAATCCCGGTGGCTACCGTAATGTATTGTATATGCACGGAAAGCCCCATTTTTAATCTTTTCAGCACTTTTGGAATTTTAATGATATCTTGAACTAGAGCAGGGATCGGCAACCCGCGGCTCTTCCATCCATCTGCCGATGTGCTTGTAAAATAATGAATGGATATTTAAATAAAATGCTTTATATTTTACTGAATTAATTTTATATCTGTAAGTCAATTCTATGTGAAGATTGTCTGCGTAAACCTGAACAGTTCCAACCCGGTCTTACTGTGAGACCGGGTTGGGTCACGCTTGTGCGTAATCATATGCGCTCATGAGCTGAAGAGGATGTGAGATTCTGGGATTGTCCTCAGACGGCTCCTGGATGTGTCGCACATTGGAGACAGGAACAAGCGCTATTCAGCCAAAGTTTCATAATCAGGGAACATTTTCTAAGTGACAAGTCTCTCTGAGAGACCGGGTTTGGAAAACACTCGCTTCAGTGGGAGGAAGCTTCCCGCATGCGCTTCTGCGACGCTCGGATCCTGCACATCTTTTAACACATTGGTCAGGATTGACGCACTTTGTTTTCATTTAGTTGGTTAAAAAAAGTCGGGCTTGGGCTCGGGCCGGGCCAAAGAATCCTGAAAACCTTTTCGGGCTGGGTCGGGCTGGGGCTCCGCCCCCTCGGGCCGGGCCGGACACGGGCTCAGATTTTAGGCCCGTGCAGGGCTCTAATTGATATGGTATCACTGTGGGGTTGTATATTGTAAATCTAAAGTGTAATTACCCTGTGGAAACAGCAATTTTCCATTTTAGAGCATTTTGAAATCACTGTTATAGCATTTTGAAATCACTGAAAATTAGGTCAGTTGTGGGCATTTTAAAAATGCCTTTATTTTGGAAAGCAACATCAGAATGACTTGATATTGATATGGTATCACTGTGGGGTTGTGTACTGCAGATCTAAATTGGAATTACCCTGTGGAAATAGCACTTTTCCATTTTATAGCATTTTGAAATCACTGAAAATTAGGTCAATTGTGGACAATTTAAAAAGGCGTTTTTTTGGAAAGCAACATCAGAATGACTTGATATTGATATGGTATCAATGTGGGGTTGTATACTGTAGATCTAAAGTGGAATTAACCTGTGGAAACAGCAATTTTCCATTTTAGAGCATTTTGAATTCTCTTTTATAGCCTTTTGAAATAACTGAAAATTAGGTCAATTGTGGACAATTTAAAAAGGCCTTTATTTTGGAAAGAAACATCAGAATGACTTGATATTGATATGGTATCACTGTGGGGTTGTATACTGTAGATCTAAAGTGGAATTACCCTGTGGAAACAGCAATTTTCCATTTCAGAGCATTTTGAAATCACTGTTATAGCATTTTGAAATAACTGAAAATTAGGTAAATTGTGGGCAATTTAAAAAGGCCTTTATTTTGGAAAGCAACATCAGAATTACTTAATATTGATATGATATCACTGTGGGGTTGTGTACTGCAGATCTAAATTGGAATTACCCTGTGGAAATAGCACTTTTCTATTTTAGAGCATTTTGAAATCACTGAAAATTTGGTCAATTGTGGACAATTTAAAAAGGCCTTTATTTTGGAAAGCAACATCAGAATGACTTGATATTGATATGGTAACACTGTGGGGTTGTATAATGTAGATCTAAAGTGGAAGTAACCTGTGGAAACAGCAATTTTCCATTTTAGAGCATTTTGAATTCTCTGTTATAGCATTTTGAAATAACTGAAAATTAGGTCAATTGTGGACAATTTAAAAAGGCCTTTATTTTGGAAAGCAACATCAGAATGACTTGATATTGATATGGTATCACTGTGGGGTTGTCTACTGTAGATCTAAAGTGGAAGTAACCTGTGGAAACAGCAAGTTTCCATTTTAGAGCATTTTGAAATCGCTGTTATAGCATTTTGAAATCACTGAAAATTAGGTCAGTTGTGGACATTTTAAAAATGCCTTTATTTTGGAAAGCAACATCTGAATGACTTGATATTGATATGGTATCACTGTGGGGTTGTGTACTGCAGATCTAAGTTGGAATTACCCTGTGGAAATAGCACTTTTCCATTTTATAGCATTTTGAAATCACTGAAAATTAGGTGAATTGTGGACAATTTAAAAAGGCCTTTATTTTGGAAGGCAACATCAGAATGACTTGATATTGATATGGTATCACTGTGGGTTTGTATACTGTAAATCTAAAGTGTAATTACCCTGTGGAAACAGCAATTTTCCATTTTAGAGCATTTTGAAATCACTGTTATAGCATTTTGAAATCACTGAAAATTAGGTCAGTTGTGGGCATTTTAAAAATGCCTTTATTTTGGAAAGCAACATCAGAATGACTTGATATTGATATGGTATCACTGTGGGGTTGTGTACTGCAGATCTAAATTGGAATTACCCTGTGGAAATAGCACTTTTCCATTTTATAGCATTTTGAAATCACTGAAAATTAGGTCAATTGTGGACAATTTAAAAAGGCGTTTTTTTGGAAAGCAACATCAGAATGACTTGATATTGATATGGTATCAATGTGGGGTTGTATACTGTAGATCTAAAGTGGAATTAACCTGTGGAAACAGCAATTTTCCATTTTAGAGCATTTTGAATTCTCTTTTATAGCCTTTTGAAATAACTGAAAATTAGGTCAATTGTGGACAATTTAAAAAGGCCTTTATTTTGGAAAGAAACATCAGAATGACTTGATATTGATATGGTATCACTGTGGGGTTGTATACTGTAGATCTAAAGTGGAATTACCCTGTGGAAACAGAAATTTTCCATTTTAGAGCATTTTGAAATCACTGTTATAGCATTTTGAAATAACTGAAAATTAGGTAAATTGTGGGCAATTTAAAAAGGCCTTTATTTTGGAAGGCAACATCAGAATGACTTGATATTGATATGGTATCACTGTGGGGTTGTATACTGTAGATCTAAAGTGGAATTACCCTGTGGAAACAGCAATTTTCCATTTTAGAGCATTTTGAAATCACTGTTATAGCATTTTGAAATCACTGAAAATTAGGTCAGTTCTGGACAATTTAAAAATGCCTTAATTTTGGAAAGCAACATCAGAATTACTTAATATTGATATGATATCACTGTGGGGTTGTGTACTGCAGATCTAAATTGGAATTACCCTGTGGAAATAGCACTTTTCTATTTTAGAGCATTTTGAAATCACTGAAAATTTGGTCAATTGTGGACAATTTAAAAAGGCCTTTATTTTGGAAAGCAACATCAGAATGACTTGATATTGATATGGTAACACTGTGGGGTTGTATAATGTAGATCTAAAGTGGAAGTAACCTGTGGAAACAGCAATTTTCCTTTTTAGAGCATTTTGAATTCTCTGTTATAGCATTTTGAAATAACTGAAAATTAGGTCAATTGTGGACAATTTAAAAAGGCCTTTATTTTGGAAAGCAACATCAGAATGACTTGATATTGATATGGTATCACTGTGGGGTTGTCTACTGTAGATCTAAAGTGGAAGTAACCTGTGGAAACAGCAAGTTTCCATTTTAGAGCATTTTGAAATCGCTGTTATAGCATTTTGAAATCACTGAAAATTAGGTCAGTTGTGGACATTTTAAAAATGCCTTTATTTTGGAAAGCAACATCTGAATGACTTGATATTGATATGGTATCACTGTGGGGTTGTGTACTGCAGATCTAAGTTGGAATTACCCTGTGGAAATAGCACTTTTCCATTTTAGAGCATTTTGAAATCACTGAAAATTAGGTGAATTGTGGACAATTTAAAAAGGCCTTTATTTTGGAAGGCAACATCAGAATGACTTGATATTGATATGGTATCACTGTGGGGTTGAATACTGTAAATCTAAAGTGTAATTACCCTGTGGAAACAGCAATTTTCCATTTTAGAGCATTTTGAAATCACTGTTATAGCATTTTGAAATCACTGAAAATTAGGTCAGTTGTGGGCATTTTAAAAATGCCTTTATTTTGGAAAGCAACATCAGAATGACTTAATATTGATATGGTATCACTGTGGGGTTGTGTACTGCA